TGGTTGGGGTTTTTGTTTTTGTTTTTTTCAACATATGAATGATTGGGATCCCAAAGAGATGTGAAGAGAGCGGCTTGTCTCCTTCCTCGGAGTATGAGCCAAAACAAATCAGCCCCTGATGGTCGGGGCTGAAACGCAGCTCACTGGATAATTAACTCCATCTTTCCAGTCCACCCTAACTGTTTATTTAGTGTCACCCTGCATTACCATCACTAGCACTTTCCTCTGAACAGGAGGAGCTGCAGGCTTTCACCTCCCAAAAGGAAATTCTTCTTAGCTTAGACAGATGTGGCATTCAGGATGTACATTAGTTAAGAAAAAAGCGGATTGCAAATTCAGTGGAAGATAAGCACTCTTGGAGAGTTTCAGTTTGTAAACCTGCCCTCGGGGGATATTTAAAAAGAGAAAAGGATTAGTGTGTCTTCAATTCTTAAGAATTGATTCTTGGGCCGGGGATTTAGCCCTGCAGCACAAACACTTACCTGGCAAGTGCCAGGTCGTGAGTTGGACCCCCGGTACAAAACAACAACAACAACACATTTGGTTTTTGGAACACCCTAGTACCATTTTGCAGAAGGGTGCCCGCCATCTGAGGTTGGTGGGCTCCTCTGGCTCAAAACTGACAGTTGGTGGGTCCCTGGCTGTTTTCTCAGAGAACAGGTGAAGCCAGTTTTTTTCTTTCCTGATAGTCTACCCACCTTCTTCTATCCAACACCCCCCCCCACTCTTCCAGTCTTTATGAACGGTCCCCACTCACTAGCTCCTGACTCCTTCGCCTGGACTTCAGACTCTACAGGCTCTGAGCTGTCACTAAAAGCTTTGTGAAACCTCACGGCGCCCAGGTCCCTGACTGGAAGAAATAGGCTCCCAGAATGGGTAGGAGTAGGGTAGGGAGCGCGGAGGGAGTAGGAAGAAGGAGAAGGAAGAAGGAATAGGAGGAAGTGCAAGAGATGAAGAGAATGAAGGATAAAAAACAGATTCCCAGAGGAAGTACAGGAGTCCCGACCTTGAGTTGGAGAAGACAATCAGACAAACGTACAGAGAGCACCAACACCTTCACCACGTGCTCCCCGTCAGGGCTCGAGGGCCCCGAGGCGGGAGAGGAGCAGAGAGGGTCGGGAGAGCCGGACGGGCTTAGGGGGAGCGCAGTGCTTGTGCACAGAGCAGTCGGGCTCTCTCTCCTCTCCAGTGTGCGTGTCTGTCCCCGACCTCGGGGCGACGCGGGGCTGGCATTCTCGGGAGCTGTGCAGGCTGGCAAGGTTTCCGGGGTGCAGCCGGCTCTGTTTGTCCAGGTGTGGGAGGGGGCGGCGGTCCGGGCGTCCTAGGCCCGCCCAGCTTTTCCGCACCGAGGAAGCCGGGCCTCAGCTCCTGAGCTTCCCGCTTCCATCAGAAACCCCTTCCCCCAGCCCTCCCCACATGCATAAATACATTAGGGAGCAGACAAATCCTCATTGTTCTGCGTGAGCCGAGGGGGCTGGCGGCTCCCCTCGGCTGGGCAGGGCGGGTCTGGGAGGGAGGAGGCGGCCGGGCTGCAGATCCGGTGTCACGTTGCAGATCGCCACTAAAGATAACGAAACGTGATCTATTTTTCAGAACAGCAAGTGGATGGGAAAGAACCTTGACAACACAAAACTCATTTACTAATGGGCTGGTTTTGGGTTTCTCTTCTTTGGATCTGCAAATCGCCCCGCCAGAGCCCGGGCTTACAAGGCCTTAGCGCAGGCGGCGGCCCGCACTGGGCAGGTGGGGGCGCGCGAGCTGGCGGGCGGGCCCGGGGTCTGAGGCGCCGGGAGTTTCCCAGTATGTCGAGGGACACGATGCACTTAGCCACTTCACCTCGGACTTGGGGAACCTCCGCCCTGCGCCAGGGAGGTGGTACTAATTTATTGGAGAAACACCTTGTCTTCCAGGTATCTGTAGGGAGAGCAGAAGGAGCAAGCGGTCCAAAAAAGCAGGATCTTAAAAAATAATAATAATGGGAATCTTGCTGAAGCCAGAAATAAGGGGCGCAGCGGGAGTAGTTTTGCTTTTTAAATTTTATTTGTTTAACCAAGGCCTTGGTTTAAAACCCCAGCAGCCTAAGATTTTCGCCCTGGCCTTCGGATCCACCAGGTCCACTCAGCCAGGATCTGCACGACAGGCGCTGCGAGCAGAAAACCGACGTGGGCTCCTTGGCCGCTGAGGTGTCCTCCGGAGCCTGCCGCGCTAGGAAGGCGGCCGGCTGCCTGGGCTGCTTGGTCCCTTTAAATCTCCGACGCATCTCTGTGCTATTTTTCATGCGATTTGCATTGACAGTAAAGGTTTTATGTTACAGAACAACTCAAACCTTTCTGTGTGCGATTTAAAATGGATCACTTGGTTTATGTGGTTTGTAAATTCATGTCATTTTACTTCTTTTAGTGGTTGTCAGTGAAAGGTTCCATTTTGGGAAACCTTGTATATCCGAGCCAATAATTAACATTTATAACAATTGGTTCCCTTAACCGAGGGATTGAAATAGGTAGGTTCTTGGTACAAAGCACACAGCACTTTTTGCTTTCTTGGATTAAGCAAGAGGAAAAAGGGAAAAGCCTGGTGATTCTGGGACCCAGCATCCAAGGACAGGCACCTCTCCCTCGTGTACCTCAATGCCTGCAACTACCATGTCCAGCATGATCCTTCTCCCAATTGTTGCTAGTCTCTAGTGCATCCTGGTTTCTATGGGAGGCAGATGAAAAGAAGGGTGCAGAGAGGTCTGGAGAAAGCTGGGTAAAAGGTGGTCTGATTAGTATCTAATTGCCGCCTGTCTGCTCTGGTCATCCTCTGTAAATTTATCCTTGCCCCTATTTGTTCGAGCTATGCTTCATTTCCTTATACATAACTGTTCATTACAAAGCATACCCCATACTTAACATACAGCCTGTCTCCTAAGAGATACTGCTGTGCTTACAGACCTTCTCTGCCCATTTCAATTGTGCACACTAGCTCCTTACTTTAGGGTACTGTCTTGCAGAGCTAGGGTTAAGCCCCCATTCTGGTCCTCACACAGCTGCCATGTCAATAAGGACTGTTCCAAGCAGTGACATTCCTCTTGGCAGGACACTGCAGCTCCTTAAGACTTTGTCTGAAACGTCATGAGCACTAAAATAAGATGGTGAGGGAAAATTACCAGACACATGGCCTTGGGCTCAACAGTGCCAGGCTTCTAGTTTAGAAAGTAAGTCACTGGGAGCACCATGTGGTATGGGCTCTTTTGAAATCATACATACCCATTAAATGCAATTTAAAAATAAGCCAAAATGAAATGAAATAGAAGCATCTTTTCCCAAGGTCTAATTGCATGGGATGCACAGAGTTTCAGGGATACAGAAAGCATTGTGTGGGAGCTCCATGGAAAAGTAGCTTCCTGTCTACTTGCAATCTTCCCGAGGTGGGAAGCCTTTATGAGTTTAAAATGTACCTTGCAGGGTACATTGGACTAGGCACATTATTTTAAAACATATAAATAATACAAGGGAAGCCTGCATTGTTTCTTCTCCCACTTACATTTCAATATGCAGAAAGATCTGTGGTGCTGGGCTTTTTGGTTGATGGAATCAAACTGTATTTAAAGGAGACAAGCAAGTCTAAAGAGCCCAGAGTTTGTTCTTCACCATTTACTAAGAGGGTGCATTGAACTCAAAAGCATTTTTGAAGTGTACTTAAAATTCTGGTTTGAACTTATCTAATCAGAGATAAGTATAGTCATAAAGTCACACTCCTTCCACCATTTGGCTTTCCTTATCTCCACACATTGTTCTTATCTCCTGCCAGCCTGAGCTACTGACAATAGATTATCTTTGTTTAGAGAAGCTAATTGTTTTCAAAATCTTTTTAATAATTGCTTTGGAGCAAGGTGTGCAAATGAGGCTTAAGATAATTACAGTTTCATCTGTTTGTGCAGTTTTACTAAGCATTCTCTGCAAATAAACAAAACAGCAGATGATGGGACTTAAATTGCAGGACATCTTTCATTCTCTGGCAGGAAAACAGGCCTGCATTGGAAACATACACACTCACAGGCTCACACCGCCTCTTCTTGGAGTCCCTGTCCTCCTAGCTTTCAGTGCAGTGTCGCTCTCAGAGTAGGGCAAGGATTGTGTTACAACTGGACGGTTATTGGAGCCTGGCACAGTTTTATTTAATTTACACCTCATCCAACTCCTTTCGTACGAGATTCCCACAGCATTTTGGTTAATGGCAAATAAGTGGCAGAGGTGGCACTGGAAAATAGAACCCTGCAGACGGGGAAACCGGGTCCAAGAGACAGCAGATGTAAGCGACCTTCTGAGTTGCTCTCTGTTTAGTAGCTCTAAACTGTGTTGTGTCTGATCCCAACTAGGAGCGACTCTTTGAGAACCAGAGAACGCTGTCCAGCTCTAGTTCTTGCGTCCTTTGGAGGGTACAGGGGCTTGGGAAGGGGAGGGAACAGGAAATTAAGTTTGACTCCTAAGCTGAAGCCAGCTAGGAGAGAAGCAACTTTACCAGTGCCTGCAGCCCGGAGCCCTGGTCTGCTGTTGTATTATTTATCGCATTCCATAAGCTATTCATCAATTCATTATTTATTCATTGCAACATTAAGGTAATTAAATATGAGCTCACCGGGAAAGGCAAGTCTGAAAGGTACAGGGACCCAAGTACGAAGGGAATTATAACTTTTGGAGTCTCTGATTTATGCAAAGATGCGCGCGGCTCTCCTTAGGTGACACTGGAGAGAGGACCCGCCTAGTAGGGTCCTGTCCCCCCTCCCCCGCACTGCGGCTCCCTCCTTCCAACCCCACCTCTCTTCCAACCTCCCCCTTGTCGCTCTTCTCTCACCATTGCCTAGCCTCATCTATGCAGCTTTTCCCTCCCCGCGCGGGGCGGTGTGGTCTTGCTGCTCCACCGGGCGGCGCGCGGGCTGGCCAGCCTCGGATAGGCGCCGCCTGCAGCCAATCAGCGCGCCGGGGGCGCTGTGCGCTTTAAGGCCGCTGCGGGGAGAACAGAAACCAAGTTCCCCGGCAACGAGCTGCATCCACCCGGCGGCGGGCCGGAGCCAGCGAGGCCCGGAGGCTGCGGGTGTGCCGGCGCTCGGTGCCCAGCGCGCCCCCACACCTCCTTCAGGAGGACTTCGGCCTTGGCCACCGCCACCAAGTTCCGACTCGCTTTTCGGCCTACGCAAAGCCTAGGGAGGGGGTAAGGAGCAGCCGCGCCCCCCTCCCCGAGGCCGCCGCCCCCGGCTTTTCGGCTTCGCTCCCCTACGCGTGCGCCCGGGCGCTGCGCCCCGACAGTCTCCAGCTATGTCGATGCTGCCGTCGTTCGGTTTCACGCAGGAGCAAGTGGCGTGCGTGTGCGAGGTTCTGCAGCAGGGCGGGAACCTGGAGCGCCTAGGCAGGTTCCTATGGTCGCTGCCTGCTTGCGACCACCTGCACAAGAACGAGAGCGTGCTCAAGGCCAAGGCGGTGGTCGCCTTCCACCGCGGCAACTTCCGTGAGCTCTACAAGATCTTGGAGAGCCACCAGTTCTCGCCTCATAACCATCCCAAGCTGCAGCAACTGTGGCTCAAAGCGCACTACGTGGAGGCCGAAAAGCTTCGCGGGCGACCCCTGGGCGCCGTGGGCAAATATCGGGTGCGCCGAAAATTCCCGCTGCCGCGCACCATTTGGGACGGCGAGGAGACCAGCTACTGCTTCAAGGAGAAGTCGCGGGGCGTGCTGCGAGAGTGGTACGCGCACAATCCCTACCCCTCACCGCGGGAGAAGAGGGAGCTGGCCGAGGCCACCGGCCTCACCACGACCCAGGTCAGCAACTGGTTTAAGAACCGGAGGCAAAGAGACCGGGCCGCCGAGGCCAAGGAAAGGTACGCGGCGCGCTTCCCGAGGCTCGGGCGACCCCGGGAAGTCCTCCTCGCCCCTCCACCCCTCTGCGCCCCTGCAGGCGTCCGCCGCCCGGCTGTGCTCAAGGAACGGAGCCAGTCCGCGGGGCGGCGCCCAGGCCTCCGCGGCGCGGCGCGGCGCGGCGCAGTGCGAAAAGTTCATGAACTCTGAGTCGCCTGCTAGGAATGGGGCCTCGTCTGCATGGAGCGCCCGCGCGTGGGTTTGCTTAGGGTGCGAGAGTCGGAAGATACTGGAGCTAAGTTTGCTTTCCTGGCCTTCCCGGCTGGCTGCAGCTAAAGCAGGGGGCGGAGAGAGAGTTCTGGGCTCCGCGGGAAGGGAAGGGTTTGGTATCGCGAGGAGAGCGGCGCGGTGGGGCCGAGGGTCGTGCACTGTCTCTGGGCGCGCCAGGGGGAAGCCGGCCAGAGACGGCTCTTCCTTCTCTCGCCATCTCCTGGTAGTCCGAGAGGAAAGGTCGCCTGCTTCCTTCACCACTGCCTGGACAAAGGGGTCTTAAAGAAAAACACGGAAGAAGAGATTTGGAGAGCGTTGGTGCCCGCGCCCGGCAGGGGCTGCCCCTCGTCGCGCTCCCTTGCGCGTGGCTGGCGCCACGGTCCGAGCGTCTGGCTGCCTGCGCGGGCTCCCAGGGCGAGGATTTGGGCTCCATTCTCCCCCTTCTTCCACAAGGCAGTTTGTTCAACACAAAACAAAACAAAACTCCTCAGCCTTCTCCGTCTCCGCGTAAACACTCTGGGCCACCTGGCCAGTCTCCATCCTTTGGCCGTGGAGTTTCCGACTGAGATTCGGAGGAGCGCAGGGAACGCGCCCCGCGGAGCCCGGGAGATTTGGGGAGACCACAGCTCAGGGGGCGATTGGCTTCCTTTGTTCACTTCCCAGCCGGGGAGGGGGGCGGAGAGCTGGCTTCCCCGATCCCGTCTGGGTGGAAAACCACAAGGCCTGAATAAATTCCGCTGGAATGGGCTCTCCGGGGAGCAAAACTGAGGGAAGGAGTCGGAAAGGGGGAGCCTGGCGGGCCCTGGGTGTGGGGAAGACGCGAGCGCTGGGAAGGCGGAAGCTGCCAGAGCAGCGAAATCCCCGTGCTAAGCGGGATCCGGTGCCCGCACCCCGGCGCCCAGAGCCTAGATTGGCGCCGGGCCGCTCACTGCTCCTGCAGGGCTGAGATGTGACCCCTGCCGGGAAAGGGTGGGTTGCAGCACAAGTTGGTGGGAAGTTTGCAAGCCTGCCTCGAGGGACAGAGGAGTGAACGGGGATTGCACCTCGGCAGTTAGCTTTAGCTGCGATGGCCCGCTCCGTGAGCCAGGCCTGAGGGCCCACTCCTGGTGAAATCATGAAATCAGAGAGACTGGCTGAGATCCCTGTGTTTACTCAGGGCACCCGGCCGCTCTGGGCACCACTTCCCATGACCTGTGCTGTGTCTCTGAAACCTCAGCTTCTGCTCAGGGGCAGGGAAACTCGACATTTGTTTCCCATGATGGAAACAGACAGTTGACTTGGTTCACCCCAGACATTAGTGCACTGGGCCCTCCTATTGTCCCCATCATTGCTTTATAACCAGTGACCATTTGTTGAAAGACTTTCAAACTTAGTTACTTCGAAATATGGTGCGGGTTGACGGTATTTAAACATAACAGCTTGAACAAAATTAAAAACATACTTTTTTGTTTCGAACAAACCCTGCTCATCTGGCTTTCCTAAAAGAGAAAACCTAAAAGAGAAAAAGAGATGAGGACATGCTCCCACTGGCAGGCCCTGGCTGCAAGCTGCCCATTTCTCGGGTCTCCTCTGCCTCCTGGCCTGCCTCAGAGTCCTTGGGGATGGGTGGGCGGCACAGCTCCTCCGTTTGGGTTGGTGAGGGATTGCACAAAAGCCCTTTCCTCCTTCCAGCCTCCCTCCCTTCACCTCACACTTTTTTTAACCTACTTTTTTTTTTTTTTTAACCATATGGTGTTGTCCTCTGTTTCTTAGGGAGAACACCGAAAACAATAACTCCTCCTCCAACAAGCAGAATCAACTCTCCCCGCTGGAAGGGGGCAAGCCGATCATGTCCAGCTCAGAAGAGGAATTCTCACCTCCCCAAAGTCCAGACCAGAACTCCGTCCTTCTGCTGCAGGGCAATATGGGCCACACCAGGAGCTCAAACTATTCTCTCCCAGGCCTAACGGCCTCACAGCCCAGCCACGGCCTGCAGGCCCATCAGCATCAGCTTCAGGACTCTCTGCTCGGCCCTCTCACCTCCAGTCTGGTGGACTTGGGCTCCTAAGTGGGGAAGGACTTGAGGCCCTGAAGGGATGGCTGAAGCAGCAACCAATCACAGCAACTAGGGACACTTGTAAATAGAAATCAGGAACATTTTTGCAGCTTGTTTCTGGGGTTCTTGGTTCTTTGCGCAAAAAGGAATGGTGGACTTTCACAGATACCTTTTTAAAAATCAAAACCAACAGTGATGTTAAGCAGAGTCTCCCTCTTCTCTCCCCTCTCTTCACTTTTGCATTTTCCCTCCTGGCCCCAGAAATCAGGAGGAGGAAAAAACTCCAAATAAACAAAAGCACCCAGTTTTGGTTCTGGCCAAACCATGCGCCCATTTTAATAATTTGTTCTTTTCTTTTTTCTTTTGTTCTTTCAAACAGGAATTGCAAATCAACCACATTTTAATTATTTCCCTTTAATTTATTTATGAAGAAATTTTAGGGGAAAGAGGAATGAGAAAGTGAGAGTCAAAGATCAGAATCGTGACAAGAAGAACCTCTGGTCTGGAAGGAACTTGTTGCTTTCTTAAATTGAATAGGAAAATATAATTAATTTTACATCTTTTCTTCATGGGAAAAATTAAGTTTACATTTTTCATATTTAGTGTTAATGATTTTATGTAGGTTAAAAGAACAGTATTAGGGGGAAAAACAAGTGCCTAAATATTTTAATGCTCTATGTGAGACAGTTAGAAGTGACCATTAATAATACAACTATTTTTTGTCAAAATTTGGTGGGGTTTTGGGTGGTTGTTTTCTTTCTTTTTTTTTTTTATGACAAACTCTAACAATGTACCAATGTGCAAAAAAAAAAAAAAAAAACCCTAATGTCATTACTTCTCATACCCTCAAAGCTTTCTTATCTGTAGCCTACTCCTGTTAAAAGGTTTCTCCTGTTCTAGTTTCTAGCTTGCAAAAGTATGCCAACAAATCTGGCAACCTGGTATTTGTTATTAAAATAGCATGTGTTTTCAGGTTTCTTTTCTATTGTACCTAACCAGTCTAAATTAAAACAGTAGAACATCAGGAGTATGATTCTGTTTCTCAAAGGTGAACTGTGCATTGCTGTCACTGGGCCCTGTTTGTTTTTTCTTTTAATAAGTTTTCACACTTTTTTACTTAAAAGTGGTCATGAATTGCTGGGTATTCTGAAAGCCATCACCGGAACCAAGAGTAGTCATAAGATTCTGTGACCGAAAGAGTGAATTTAGCTTTGGGGTATTTATTTATTTTTTTATTATTTACATAATGCAGTTTTTGTTTACCACTAGCTCTTCTCCATAGCATTCATGTGTTAACTCAATTCTTTTGTGTTAACAAGTGTATGATAAGACTGTGAAAGTAAAAGTAATTTATCTGCTTGGAAAAAAAGGGGGATTTAAACATTGTGAATTAATTTGTACAAATAGAAAGCAGACTAGCAGGGCAGGAGCTCTTTTGCAGTGCTGCTGAACTGAGTAGTGTCCAGAAAGGTCCCAGTAATCATGTAGGCTTCATGCTACTTTCACCTGGGGCAAAATGATGTATCTTCTGTATTTAGCTTTTAAAATTAGTGAATCAAATGGCATTATTTATTAAAATTTTACTCAGGATAACAGGATTGGCTGGCTTGTGCTTTGTAAAATATTGTTCCCCAGGGAGAGTGTATTTATTTTCTGATATGGCAGTTTCATAATTTTTATTTTTCTCCACCCATAGTGTCATCGTTAATATATTCATTTCTTTCTTACCCTTTCCTGTTGTTCCTTTCCTGATGGAGGAGACTGAAGGATCTGAGGGGAAATTAAGGCCTTCTTATTTATGAGTTCTTTTCTAAGTGTCAAACTGTTTTCAGTTCAAGGGGAAAATGGTCACTGTACTTTGGAGTCACTTTTACTTATAAATTGATGGACAAATGCACACACAGCGGGTCTGAGCCCATCGTTTGGGTCGGGAGCTCGGGTCCCAGTGTCCCTTGTTAGTGTTTTGGATCATTAAGTCGGTGTTTATTTAAGTCACTAGCGTGTTTATTCTCCACGTCTTGGGCCACGGAGAAATGCCACCCTCTGCGGCAGGGGCTCTCACAGGGAATCTCTGCACATTCTTCACATTCACTCCCCAAAACAAACACCCTGCACAAAGATAGCTTTCAATGACCCTGACAGACTTCAAAAGACGCCGCGGAAATCTCTCTGGAAAATAAGGAAGGGCCAATTACTTTAATTTCTTACATGCCCTTTCTTTCTACCTCGACTCTTCCCGCCCGCTTCGCAGCGCTGTGGACTCGCGGAGGTTCTGGCTCGGGGGCGCCGGCCCACTTCCTGCTCGCTGGGTTGGTGAATCTTGGAAATGTCTTCAGATCTGGCGAGGAGGAAAGAGGGCCGGTCCTGTAAAAGCACCCGTGATTACGGCTTGTAAACTCGTTAAAAGGACAATTTTCTGTCACAGCCATAAACTGCTTTGTAAAACCCTGGCACTGGATCCGCAGCGCGCATATTCCAGATGTGTTTAATAAGAAATTGCACAATATGCCTCTTTCCGCCTTCCTCCGCTCAGTCTAGCTAGAGGAAGGACAAGCAGGAGGAGGCGAGAAAGCTGGATAGTACTCTGAGTTTTCTTGGCAATCATTTTAGAGCGATCATTAGAGAGAACTAACCATATTTTTTTCCCCTCGAGGAAATCTTCGAGCACCAGCTGTTAAGGGACCTTCAATTTACCTTCTCAGCGTCAAAGTTTAACTGAATCAAGAGGCATTTTTCGTTTCTCCCCTACAGATTTCACAATGATAGCCAAAAGTAATGAGCAACGGTTTATAAATAGTGTTTTTAGGACGAAACCTTCCAGCACTTTGCCAAGTGAGATGAAAAACAAAATTTTGAGGCTTTTTAAAAAACCTTCTTAAATCTTAGCACAGAAAGGTTGCTTGGGCTCCAGCTGCTTGCTGGCCTTGACCTCTTGGGCTGATCACAAAGCTTTCTAAATTCTCAGAGGCTAAGGGGTTTGGCCAGCAGCTCCTGGGGGTTTGGTTGAACAGGTAGAGACTCCAGCCCCAGGAGCTCTAGGCAGGGGAACGCGGCACCTCTGCTCTTGAGCCTGAAATTCGCCTGACACCAGGCTGGCGTGGCAGCTGCCCGGAGGAGGCCGTGGGACTGCGCTTCGCTGAACGTCGCCCCAGACGCGCAGTTCCGCCCCGCGCACGGAGCGCAGCACCTGCCCCGAACCTTTCGGGGGGCCCGGCTCGGCTCTGCGGCTGCGGCGCGGTTGGAGGGCCTGGATCGCCAGCACCTCCCGGCCTGGAGGCCGCGGGCAAAGGCAGCAGGCGGGACTCGGGTTGGGGATCCAGAGGGTCGCACCGCGCGCTTCTCCGGCTGTACGGAAATGGAGCACTTGTCTTGTCACCGCAGTCTACGAGGACGTTCTCGCCGTTTTTGTCGGGGCACCAAGCGCCACCGCCTGTGCTGCCAACCGGCTGGTGCAGAGCCCGCCCTGACCTCATCAGGCAGACAGTGTAGCTCCGGGATCTCCGCCCTGCCAGGCGCGGGGTGCAGGGCTGGCCCTCAGAGGTCCGAGGGCAGAGGCTGCCACGCTGGCCTCAAGGCCGGACCAGGGAGTGGGTCGAAGCCCGAGCTCTGTGGGCGTCGCAGTTGTCCTAGGCCAAGTCTGGGGCGCTGACGTCCGGGCGAGGCGCAGGACGCGAGGCAGTGGGGCTGGAACCTGCGGGTTAGCGGCGGGACAGGCGCAGGAGCAAACGCCCGGGTGGCCAGGCCTGCAGCTCAGGCTTAGGAACCCGGTGAGCTGGAGGCCTAAGTCTTGCCGCTCACCCCCAAGGGCCTTTCTTGCAGCACGGCCACTCTTCCTCCTCGCCTGGGCTTTTGGAACCCAAATTCTCCGCCAGGGAGCTCAGCGGAGGGTGCCAGCCTGCCAGGGCGCCCTTTCCGAGCTAGTCGCTAGAATTCTCGGCCTGAGAGTGGGGTCCTGGCTTCTAAACTCAGGCAGGACAGAGTCAGAGCTCGCTACCTTGGCGGGGCCAGGTCGGGTCACCCTCTTCTCGGTGGCTCTGGGGAGTACAGTCACCTCTTTTTGCTGATGTCCCGACGGGAGCCGCAAGGGGAAGGCAGCAGTGGAGTCCCGCACACTTCGGGTGGCGGGTGGCGCTGTTGCAGCGCAGGATTTGCCTAGATTTTAGGCGCTGGGTAGGTGTGGACAGGGACTGGCCGGGCAAAGTTAAATTGAGGGAGGTCGCTGGTGGCCCACCAGCTGTCTCCGCGGAATTTCTGGTTTTCTGAACTTTCCCAGGGAGTAGACTGTGAAACTCTCTTGGTCTAACCCCTCCAGCAGTCCAGAGCCAGCGCTTAGTCTGTGCTCTGCTCTCACCTTTGGGGACAGCCTGCAGCGCGGGGGTGCCAGGCTCAGTTCCACAGGGGAGATTCTGCGGCCCTAGCAGTCGGGACTTCTGAGCCTCGACAGGTCGCAGAAACCCCTTCCCAAGATTGAGTTCTGTACATCCGCCTGGGGAGTGCCTGGAGGGGACTGAGTTAAGTGGGAGATGAGTGAACTAGCCAGAAACATAAAAGAAAATTGGGGGCTAAATGTTGGTTTTTTCCTCTACTTGGAAAAAGGGCTGCTCTGGAAAGGGCACATTTTCGCTTGTGTTTTAAACCCAGCACACACAAGACTTCGTTCCAGCTGATGAAATTGGAAACCTGTTCTCCCACTGAGGATGACAATCAGGGCTTTAGACGCTGTGGTCCTTTCAGACAGCGAGAAACAACACTGCAGTAGCATTTAAAAACAAAGGAAAGAGACTGCTGGAGGCGTGTGGAAGTCGGTCTCCTCTCCAACACCAGTTCCAGATTTTCTCCTTTTAACTTGTTAATAGACAGCTGAGACCCCAGTTCTCAGCAGGTAGAATACATCCACCTAAAGGACTGCTCCCTCCCACTGCTCTGGTAGTTTATTCCCCTCTTTTCCTTTACTATAATGTTAAAATATTCTTGAAATCACATTTTCTGTGACAAAACAGAACACAGAAAAAACCCTATCTAATCTTTGAAGGAACACCTTAGTATACCAAAGTGGCTACCCAACCACAATTAAAATGTTGTTAGGTGGCATTGAGTACTTTCCCCTCTTCACCATCATTAATGACTGCCATTAAAAGGCAAAATAGAGAGATTTTGGTCCTTTACTTTCTATAACAAGGCATGGAAATGTATGTCTTCTCCCTGTCTCCTGCTCTTCCCAGCCTGTTTAAGGTAAAAGATAAATGTTTTATGAGACAGACATAGTAGAAGTAGAACCTTTAACACACATAAGGCAAATTTTTAACTTTTCTATAAAGTTTATTTTAACTTGGGATTTAAAACTGACTATAGTTTATAACATATCATGGCCTTTATGGAAGGGAAAAGAGGGAGTTCAGGACCTGAGTGGATAGGCATGTAGGATCTGAAAAACACTCCTAGGTTACCTATTTTAGTGACAAAAGACACTGTTTCAGGATTCTTAACACATTTCACAGGGCCAGTGAGTCAGCATCCTTGATAGAAAACCTACAAATTTGAGGTTACATGTGTGCAAAATTGACTTTCTAGGTGCTCTTTTCTTAATAGTAAGTATTTTTACAGAATCTACTGTGCCCCCAGGCAAGGCTTTGGCTGCTTTGCTAAAAGTCCTAATTTGAGTTGCCAGTTATCTGAGTGGTCTAAGTACCAGGAAAAGGCAGTGGGACTGTGAGCCCCTTACCCCAGGACAAAAGAAACCAACCCAGCAAACCAAAGCAAATCCACATAGCTGTGACATCTTTGGTTGGCTCACACATAAACACTATACTAAACTGTAAATGTCTGCACACAGCGTTGTTCCTCTTAGCCTTTTCTGTGTATAATAGTGGTGGCAGGTGCTGTGGTTGTTGTGTGTGTGTGGGGGGGGGACAGGATGCTACAGTGCTTGTAGAGAAAATGCACATTTTGAGAATGAAACAGCATAGTATGCAATACTTCACAAAAGATTTTATTTCTAAAATAAGGGATAGCACAAGGAAGACATCCTTAGCTCTGCACTTACTTAGAATGCCTTCAAGATCAAAATAGGTAGCAAGCTTTTCTTTAAAAAAAAAACAACTAAGCTATACAGGTTAACATGCCTTAGTAGCTATGAAGTAAAAAGAACATTTAAACAATTGAACCTTTGTCTGTCTGCAGATATGTGTAGTGAATATTTTCTATGCATTGCTGATGCTATATAAACATAGCATGAGCTTCCTTCTAAACTCAAGTTCTTGATTTTAATTGAAGAATAATATTGCTCAGGGCTCTACCTCTAAGTACAACCAGCTAATCTAAGAAAATCAGCTCTGGGAATCTGGAACCAATAGCTATGTTCAAAATAAACAGAAATCTTCTTAAAGACGGACAGGAAGATTATTTTACATTCAGTGTATCTCCTGATTACAAAACAAAACAAAACATTCAGACATAACTTTTTGTGGAAGGACTAAAAGGCAGAATGACAATACAGGTCTCTTACTATATTTCTTCTTTAAAAATTTAGTGTAATTTAAGACTCCCAGGTTGTCCTGGTTAACTTGAAGAATATATCTTAAAAACAAATTTGAAT